GCTCGCCGCGCCGCAGCTGGCTCTGCCCGTGAGCCTCTGCTCCACCAAAGGGAATATTTTATTAGAGCCACTTGAATTCCCATCGCTTCTTCCCTTCTGATCGTTTCCTTTCATCCCCCTGGGGCGCTGGGGGTGGGAGCAGGCTGCTGGGTTTGTTTGGAGATGCTGTGCTGCCGCTGCCTCACCAGGTATCCCGGGTACCGGCACGGGGACGTCCTCGCCTCTAATACTGTGTCAGAAATAATTCTGTGTGCTGCTTCTTCCTGAGATAAGCAGCGGGATGGGATGGTGGCAGTGGCTCTTCTGCAGTGCCAGTCTAGCAAGCTCTCTTTCTCTCTGAGGGCGATGGCGCGGGCCGTCCCTTGCTGTGTGTCTCACAGAGCCCGCCGGGTTTCCCACTCTGCGTCGCCGCAGTGCGATGCTGATGCTTGTCAGCAGAAGACCCCTCTGTAGCATGCTGAGCCCGGTTTCCCATTGCACACGCATGCTGTTTGGCAAAGCTATGCTTGTTGGAGACTTTGCTATGATAAGAGATCACAAAAAACAGCCTTTGAGCCCACTGCCTGCCAAGTTTATAAAATAACACATTAGAACTTGAAAAAATGCTGTTGAATTTTACCCTGCGGTGGGTTTGTGCACATGTTTTCACAGGGGTTTTGCAAGGGATGCCCTGGCCACCAGGGTGAAGTAAAGCTGGCATTCAATTTTGGGCACTGTTTCATTCCCGTGTCATGAGAAATAAGGAATAATTGTTCCCTGTTTGGTTCTCCACACCACCTCTGCTCACTGTGACCTGTGTTGCCACGGGATGGGACATCTCCATCAGGAGACGGGCACTGTCACCTCCCCGGTGTATGTGTACCTGGAGCTCCACGCCTTGTCCCAGGGTTCGCAGGTTTAACCGCTAACACACAGTCAAGATTATTTCAATTTTTCTTTTATTATCATTATATATGAGTATATATATTAGTAATGAGTATATGTATCATATGTACAATGGTGTATTTATGAGTCGAGGAGGTGCGGGGCTTGAGCCGACAGTAGGTGCCAGAGGAGCGTCTCGGCTGCGCTCAGAGCACCACGATAACGCGGCGATGTGGCTCGGGCACCGGCGGTGGCCGCGTCTGGCCAGCAAGGCATGTGGCCAGAGTAAATATCTCTGGTTTTCTGCCAGCGGGAAAAGCAGCCGAACAGAGGGGTTTATGTCACGGAGGTGCTTCTGGAAAAAAAACAAATTTGGGGAAAAAAACCTTTTCTAGATAATTTCCAGCCCTGTGGTGAAACCCAGAGCCGGTCCTGAGCTGTTGCTGACTCTGATCCCCGAGTCCCCTCGTGCAGAGCCATGGTCTCATGGGTGCAGCACGGCTGCCCTCCGTCTGCCAGCACTGTGTCCCCACGGTGCCTGGTGGGTTTATCACCTTGTGCTGGCGCCGGCTACAGGCCAGCAACCTTGGGGAAGGTTTCCAGTCTCCGGTGGTTCAGCCCTTACCCCCTGCCAGGTAACCTTAATGCTTCCTGGGCGGTTTTGCAGCTCTCGTTAAACTCGGGTGGCAGCAGCGGGGCGGCCAGGAGCCTGCCGCCACCGTGCACATCCCATGTGCGGGCAGGAGTGAGCAGCATCACGCTGCATGCAAAGCCATTGCATCTCTGGGTGGGTTTGCAAGCAGCCTTGAAAAGGTGGTGAAGCCGGCACCTTTCCTTGTGTCTGAGGGTGGTGATGAGATGCAAACATGTGCTTAGCATGTGTAATATATTTCTGTACTAACCATGCATCAAATTATAATTTAAAACCAAAATATTTTTGTTGGATGGGAAGTCCCAGTTCATTAATCAATTGACTAATAGTTTAGTGCTGGAATGGTATAATCTAACGCACTTAACAGCTGCTAGAAACAGCTGGTGCTTATGACTCTGCTGTTTCGGGAAGTGAAATCTATAGTGTCTCGGTTTTGTTTTTCAGGGAGTTCTTCAGAATCGCTCGTACATATCCCTGAGCAAAGCCCTCAAGCGCTCTGGAGTGGGGACCCAGCGGGGTTGTGGGACTGGATTCACTGGGACTTCCAACCGAAACAAAATCCCCCTTGCACAGTGGATGCAGAGAGCACCAGCAATGTGTCTGCAGACGTGACAGCTGGACACGGGGGTGTTCCTGCGGGTTTGCATGAGGGGGACACTCGTAATCCCGTGCTGTCAGGTGTTTTGATTTGCTTTTGAGTCAAAACCAGTGCATGCTGAGCTGTGGGTACGGCAAGGGAGATGCCACCAACCGAGAGGGCAATTCCCGGCTGCTCCCCAGCTTCGGAGGGCGCTTGGTTGGGGCACCGGCCAGGGTCCTGGCGAGGTGACATGCTGGGACTGCTGTGCCGGGAGGGGAGGAGGTGATGGCAGCTGCCGGTGCACGGGCAGACCTTCGCCACCGCGCAGGAGGCGGCGGCAGGGGCAGTCCCAGGGCGGGAGAGGCACGAGGAGCAGGGGGACAAGGAGACAGCTGGCAGGGACCAGACATGGGATGTTGCGTAAGTCTCTGAAGTAAAATACAGGAAACCACACAAAGGCCTCAAAATGCTCAAAACAGAGCCACATGTGCTGCTGAGACGCCTCCTTCCAACCTCAGAGCACGTAACTCGGTGGTGGGACCGGCCATGGCCAAGTCCACTGGGCGAGTCCTGCCCTGCAGGTTATCTAGCTGCTAAAGCCGCTCAGAAAGATCATTTGGTTGCCAAACACTTGGGTGCCTTGGTGGGAATTTCCCTGACCTTTCCAGAAGCACTGCAGCTTAATGATTGATTGACAAATGCTGCTAAAACTTTACCAGATCACAAGCCACACGTCCCAGAAGCAGGTGTCCGTTCCCAGAAACCCAGCGATTTTTCAGTGTGAGCTCCACAGCTGGGGGTGACTCGGCTGGACGTCGGCAAATTCACAAATCCTTTTTGTGCGTTATTTGTTGCTTTAGCAAGGAACCAGATATGAAGGTGTCAGAAA